ATTTTAATAGTATGTTCTGAAAGTCTAACACATTTATTTTTTCATTTCTGAAATACTTATCTTTTTTTATGTTTTATTCACAAAAATAACAAATTCAGTGTATTTTTGACAGTAATTGTTCATCCAAACAAATTTTATTAAAAAGAATTCACATTTTATCCTTTTTAATTCTAAAATGCGAAACCGTTTTCGCAAATGTGGCTGTTGTAGATTGTCAAATAGCCAAAATTTACGTTTCATCCAACCTTTCGACTCAGATTAGTCATCTTCAAGGGTGTAAAAAAAAAAAAAAAAAAAAAAGTAAAGATAAGGATAGATGGATTTTAAGCAACGCATTATTTTAAAACTATTTTAAAGAGGGAATTCTGAACTGAACCCTTTATTTAATTTACAGAGGTTGACAGTTCTAGTTTCACTGTCCGTGCCTAGGGATATCCCGTCTAGTTCTTATTTTAGTACTGCTTAGTTATTGTTCTCCCCGTTTTCACTAGGCTATTTTGTCCGTAGTGAAAGCAATGGCCAAGTGGAATTTAAACGTTGTTTCGTTAATTTGATGACATAGTAATTGAGTTCAATCCTTGGGCAAGGCAGTATGTACTTGGACATTATGGAAAAGGGTGAGCGATAACCGAACAGTACTAAAGAACTTGACGATATCCCTTATGATTCGAACTATAAGTGTCGTTTTTGTTTCTAATTTCCTTTAAACTTCCTCATTGATTACACGCTTCGTCAATGGTATTCTCAGTAAACTTCTCTATATCTCTATTGCCTTAAGTGTCTAGCTCATCTAGGAGGAAATATTACTGTATTGGACAGAGTTTCCCCAACCTGGGTGGTATCACCCACCAGTGGGCGATTTCAACTGTTGGGTGGACGATAAGCGACCGAACAGAAAATAGCGGATAATTGGGAATTTTGGTAGGCGATATAGGATTTTGAGTATTAAAAAGGTATTTCAGTGTATGCTACTGGAAAAAATATTAAAAGATACGCAAAGAAATCGAATAAAAGAAAATGGAAGGCTAAATGGTCACATTACTTCGACCTCCCTATGGTTGGTCGGAACTCCATTGACCAGTAACAAACACTTTCCACATTGTTGGTTACTATATTGCTGTCTCCAGATCACCAATGTCCAACCCTGAGTTCCGAGCTATGGTGTCTGGGGAAAGTCAGTTTTCGTCAAAAGACATTTCCAGAAGAATGCTATAGGAGTAAGGATAAGACGATTTCCCTGTCCGCTCGGTGGCAGTGGGTGACAAACAGTAATCGTTTTTGTATAAGCCTAAGAGATATTGGTCTTCTTTTTCTAAGTAGATTTGTATATGTTGCATCCACTCGTCTTTCAAGACGAACAGATAATGTTCAAATTTCTGATCCATACAGTAGAACTAGTCCAGTCAATGTTCGAAAGGTTTGAACTTTTAAGGAGGATGGAAGGTTCGAGCGCCAAATTTTATGAAGATTAATATACGCATTCAATGCAAGATAAGATCTAAATATGCCCGCAAACAAGTAATATTTTGGTGTTTTTTCTGTAGTCTTAACTCTTGAGAAGGATTATTAACATTCAAATAGTTCTTCAGACGATATATATATATATATGTGTGTGTGTTTAAAACAGTTGAAACCTAACCTGAGCAAAATAAACTATGAAATCTCCACAAATATTCTTAAATGCCTATAATTGGTAACAGAAGCCATTGGTTTATACCAACGGCTTCCTATACTTAATACTCGAATTCACTCTCGCGTGGTCATGTGTGACGTCATGAGCTGCGGTGCGATTTTCGCTTCCAGCGTCTTGTATGCACGAATTTCTCGTTGCTTGGAAATCTTCCATGTAAACAGAAACAGACTATCATCACTATCTTGTCCGTGTATTGCTTAATATATTGTAATGAAATTGTCATCTTTGATAATGGCTTATGTAAGCCGAAAGTTTAGATAGGATTAAAAATATGTATCAATATTGTGATTCTCTTTCTTCGTTTAATGATAATGTTATTAAGCTTATCAGACGATATGAAAAGAATTTACATAAAATAAATAGACAATACTTGTCTATATTATTTAATGAAACATGTATCATAGATATATATAAATCGGATACGGGAAAAATCAAGAACAATTTTGCCAGTTAAATCAGTTAGTCACGTAACAAATTTTTGTCAAACAATTTTGGGAGATTTTTTTGAATATTTACTAAGCATTTTCCCGGTGGAAAATGTTTCCATGTGAAAGTGGGCGATGATTAAAAAAAAAAAAAAAAAAAATAAGATTGGTAACCCCTGATGTAGAGGACTTTATCATCTGTCATGTCAGCATTTTTCTTTTTTTTAATTATAAGCATCGCTTCGGCTTCCATTTTTCTAAAACTGGTTGATTACATGATCTGGACGTAATATTCATTGAATCCTTCTGTAGAATTATATCTGTGTTGTCTTAATCGTCTTCTTCATTTGTGAGGAAATTGTGCAGCATTTATTGCCATGCTGGGGATTGTTATTACATGACAAAACAATGCTCTCCTCTTTGTTTCTACTTAAGTATTCCTGCTTCTTTAAAGTATGTTTCTTTTCTGCTAACATTTCCCTTAAAACTTCCGCGTTCTGTCCATGGTATTCACAGCAAACTTCTCTAGAACCACATCTCTGTTGCCTTAAGGTTCTTCATCGGTAGAAACCCATCAACTATATAGATGCGTTTCTGTAATCATTATTAATTCAACTGTATCCTTCTTCTCATTCTTATAAATAGCCACCATTTTTTTTTTTTTTTTTTTTTTTTTTTTGCTTTTTTCACCTTTTTTTTTTCTTGTCTATACTCGTTTACCAGTCGACCTTCCTACAGCCAGCCATATCATATTTGTTACTATAGAGGGTACAATGGATAAATTGTCGTCTAAATTACGCAAAAAATGAAAATAACACTGACATCTCATTTTAACAGATATATTTACCAAAAATATCTTGAAATACTAAAGAGTAAATTTATTCAATAAAATCGCCATTGACTTCAACCACGGCCTCCAGGCGACTTCGGGATCTCCTGCAACATTTCTGGGCGGTCTCCTTGTTCAAGTTGGTGAATGTAGCTATAATCTTTTGCCTTCAGTTCATCTTTGGTGTTACAAGGAGTTTTGTTGGTCTCTCATACAACTGTGCCCCACACATAATCATGGGGTTTGCAGTCTGAGGAGTTAGGTGGACAGATGTAAGGGGTGATATGATCGCAGAAATTGTCTGACATTCATGATTGTGCTCTTCTGCTTGTGTGACATGGTACAGAGTTCTGTTGACAGATATAGGGTCTCCTAGCAGCCACACTTTGACCCAGGGCAGCACTATCTCCTTAAATCACTTGATGTAGGCCTCCGTCTTCATTCTGAGTCCCTGTAAGACGATGAACGGAGGCATAATGTCGCCATCACTAGTGATCACTCCGAACACCTTCGTAATCACCATTAGACTCATCCAACTCTGCAATCTCCTCAGATTTACACCCAAATATTCTGAAATGTTCGTATTGGAGCTTCCGGCGCAAATGCCAAGCAATACAGCATGCCGTTTCCAAATTCCTTATGGAGTGAATAGCGTGATGGTAATCTTTTTCTCAAAGACGGTGCCTAACTGACCCTACGATACTGTGCAGTCGATAAAATCAAAAAATCAGACTATGCACATGCGCGAAATGAAAAATATAAAAATGACAACAAATTCTCCATCACACCCTGTATATCCAACCACGGACGTAAATACTTGAGTTGAGACTGCTATCTAGATTAGCGAAATGATGACAAGATAGGAACCATGCGAACAGGATTAGGCATGTATCTCTTGTTTCCTGTTTAGGATTGGGATTCCGGTTCGTCCTAAAGTCTACCCCAGCTCCATACATCATCCGTCTTCGACTAAAGTCTGAAATTTTATTTACTGCTTTTTTTTCATTAGGCGTAGATGGGTTCGTCTATCATTATGTTCATCCCCCCATCCCTGGTCTTTTGAACAGGAGTAGAGGTTTATCCCTTGTTTTCTATTTAAGATTCGGTTTCTGGTTTTACTGAATTCTTTAGATTCTCTTTCGCTCCCAGCGGACCCTTGTGTCGTACTGATCTTATCAAGTTGTGTGGGGTGAACTGATTAAAAAAAAAAAAGAAGTTTGTGCTTGAGGAAATTCATTCTTCAACTGAGGATGCTTGTGTTCTCCGATTCCTTCGAGGAAAGCATGAATATATTTCTTTGTTAACCCGACAAAAATTTTTAGAATTTAGCAAGAATGTTTTAACTCGGACCATTGCTCTCATCTTTGTGACCATTAACCCAACTTTTTTTCCATTGTACACTCGGGATTTTGTGGGTACTTGTCGTTTACGGTTGCGTTCAGGGAATTTCGAACTGAATGTTAATTCCCGTGGGTACATTGTCCGCGTTCCGCTGTCCATATTCAATGTTTTATAGGAGGGTTGATATTGCATAACAATTCAGTACTCTTTTCTTTGTTTCTAACGATTTTTTTCTGTTTCCTAATACTTTGCTTAGCTTTTGGAAGACATCTTTTGCTAATCTGAATGAGCCTCACTTCCTCCATTTTCATATTTAGAAATAATTTCCTTAATTTTGTGATCCAGGATTATAGTTTTATTGAAAATAAACTTTTATAAAAATATTATTTTCAATATAAAACACAAAAATTAAACTAATTTCAGAGCCTGTAACACGCAAGTTGCACAATATTGCGACTATCAGAACATTGAGTATTTATTGATTCATTCATCTGTTTACGACCTATCAACCTTTTGCAGGCTATTTAAAACTAGAAAAATATTTGGAAAATAATAATGATTAACTGATTCATGTCCTACAATTTAAGGCATTGCTGGGGGATGAGGCGGTTTCATGCCTTTCCCCAGGAGTATTTATAGATAAGTAAATATAACGAACCCAACCGGAATTGGAACTCGACTATCCGATTTCCAATTCCGAGCCGTTATTCATTACATTACCTGGTATTCCGAAACAGTCACCGATCTAGATACTGACCAGGCTCGACGTTGCTTAACTTCGGTGATCTTACAAGAACCGGTGTTTCAACGTGATATGACCGTAAGCCGATACTGAATCGAAAGAAAAATAAAAAATCGATAAGTTACAAAGGGTAGGAAGTTGTGGAGAGCCATTATAATCTACATCCTGAAGAGTAGAAGAATGTAACTGTTTTGTTGTTCGGATTTTATCTCTTCAGGTGAATTTAATTTTCTCGGGGGCAGAGTAATTGATTGCAGCTCGAATTTAGGAATCGGAGATCCGAGTTCGAATTCAAGTCGAGTTCATTACATTCACTTACGTGCTAATACTCTTGGAGAAAGTAGAACTTCAACCCTTCTGCGTCCAGATAAGACAGACTGGGTTTTATAGCCTTGGGTGGCAACCGGTCGAGGAAAAGGAAAACGCTGAATTCAAAACTGTATGTAACCCTAGCGAAGCACATACTATGCAGCTAAGGAAAAGGGTCGTTTGCATTGACTCGATGATCTCGACTACGGTCGTATTTTCTCAAATAAAAATTCTGTTTTCACTTTGTTGGTTTTTGCCTCACTGAACAATGTTAATTATACGAGAGTTCATTGTCAGTAGCCATATTTCATTCATTTTGTTTTCACTGTACATATGGGTGAAAATTGTGTTAATGGGTACATTGCAAGTACAATATGTTTCGCATTGAATTGGAAGCGGTATGAATAACTTAAAAAAAATGTTTGAATAGATCTGCTTTGTTTTTCAAACTGGAACAATGACAACAACAAAGAATTTAGCAACTTGTCTGTCAGCATCAATCTCTAATTATAAAACTACCATTTTTGCAACGTATGTTTATTTTTGTTTTGTTTGTTTGTTTGTTGTATTTTGTTTGTTTTTTATTGTTTGTTGTTTTTTGTTGTTTTTTTTTTTGTTTTTTTAGGGGGAAGGGTTCTTTCGTTTTATTTTTGCTTTTTTTTGTTTCTTTCGTTGTTTTTTTTTTGTTTCTTTCGTTTTTTTTTTTTTCTTTCGTTGTTTTTTTTTTTGTTTCTTTCGTTGTTTTTTTTTTTTTTTCTTTCGTTGGTGTTTTTTTTTGTTTCTTTCGTTTGTTTTTTTTTTTTGTTTTTTTTTTTCCTGAGAAACACAGGCAGACAAAGAGAGGAAATAGAAAGATCAGGAAAATATACAATTTAAACGAAGTTGAAACTTAACATGTCTTTGACACCAATTAATGTCTCGTATAAAATCCGTTCCTCCAAGTATATATATATGTATGTACAGTTTACGCCTAGAACTTCCTTTACATAAATATTGCGAAACCTTGTGGATTTTAGCTTAATTGAATAATTTCTACATAAGACCGAACACGAGATCGTCAGCTATGCAATTTATACGCAGAATAAGTGCTGGTGACCTAACAATGTATGTTGCACGTAATATACAAATTCCACTTACTTCAACCCTTACATATCTGAGTACACTCATGTCCTATGTAATCAAGATGAGATTCTATACGTTCAAGCTGCGGAAATTACAAACACATGGACGGCACAAAACATATAATCAATTAACACAAGGCACAAATTTACTACGTCTGACTTTAGCGACAGGTGTTCCTTTGATGGCCTCCAAGAGGGAGCCTGTCGTCCTCCTGCGACTCTTGGCTGTACTTACAACTCGTGTTCCCGTAATAGTCTGCAGGAGAGAAAGTCGTTATCACGTGAATTTTGGGAAGCAAAAATGAAAATGGAAGAAGAGATATAATCAATTTTTTTTTAATCCCGAATTATCGCTGCGAAAATTGGTGTCGGCAGGCCGAGAACAAATTCCGTCTGCGTCTGTTGCGATCACTTTCGCACCAATGCTGATCAAAAGAGCACGCAGTCATCTCTTCTCTATTCAGATACGGATTAACTAGCAAGGTAGGCTGGACTCACTCGTCTTGAAATCGCTCTATTATCTTTCCTAAGAACTCATGGCAATAAAGAAAATCAGTGCAGCATCCAGATCGCCTACATTATGAAAGTTCATGGCATTACAAATACTATTGCCGTAAAAATAAAACATCGGCTTTCGGCTACAGAAAATGATTGTTCACGATATAAAAAAAACGAATCACTAACAAATTTTTAAAATTAAACTCTGGCAGAACTCGGGCCACAAGAAATTTGCGAAAGAATTGATAATAAAAAAAAAAAGTAACCTACCTATGAATAAACATAGCAAAACAATGAAACGAGTATAGAATAGAATATGAAAAAACAACAAGGACAGTACAGGGTCTAGTGGACCTGCACCAAATGTATGATATGCCCCACCCTCTACATCTCAATATTCATAATGTCAGTCAGTTACATGCCATGCGCGAAACTTTCGATACATGACTGACGACGCAGATTTTTTCCCGCAGTAGGTTGCCATTTCTTTCTGCGGTAGACCAGATGCCATCCAAGGCTATAGAATCCGGTCTGTCTTGGAATGCCCAAAACAAAAATGTCCTGGAGAAACTATGAGAGGATTCATAAAAAAAAAGAAAAAAATACAAACAATACAAACTCTAATGAACATAGATAAGACAGGTCAGCATATACTAGTGCATTATATTGATACTAAAATATAACGTTTGCTGGTAAAAATGGTGATTGAAATAATAACAACAAAATTTGGGCTAACAAAAACAAACCAGCCTGGGAAATAAGACAGATCTCCAAGTTACAAATAAACGTAAGATTACTGAGGGATATGCCTTGCAATAATGGACTGTTTCGGGCGTTATATACGCCGGGTGTTTGAGCTGGGGGAAAATACGTGTCTTCTGGAATACCCTTGCATGTGCGTCCGTGATGATAAAATACAAAGACACAAGAAGCAATATATGTACAAACAAATAATAATGTCTTAACAAGCAAGGTATACAAGTAACAAAGATAATTATGTGTTTTAAAAAGAAATGTGAACGCTTTTAAAGTTCAAAGGATGTGAGGTGAGTGAAAGTGCGTACGTGAGTGTGTGTGTGTGGGGGGGGGGTCCTACGTTTTCCAGTGGGGAACTTGTTTTCCACAGCAGACTTGAATGTCGACGTGTAAGCGGAAAAATTAAGAGAATGAGAAAAAATATCGCAGATTATTTATAGTCCTGAGAGCGCCCTCTAGTAGCGATTTCAGCAAAGTAATTGAAGTTAACTTAGGTACCTCCATGAGATCGCTAAGAAAAAAAAAGAATATCGTGATGAAAAAGATTCCAAACTTGAAAACAAAATTTTATCGTCTAAATGCTTGTTATTATTAATAGGAAAGATCAAAGTTTATTTTCATTATTTTTTAAGTTTTCCTTCTTTTTGGAACATTCTAAATTTTGATTAAAAAAAAAAAAAAACCTTGTTTTTCTTTGTATCACCGGAACTAGTAAAATAACAGAAATTTTAGCACTTTTTTTTTTATTTTATTTATTTATTTATTTATTTATTTTATGACGCACATTAATTTGGAAAATCTTGCAAAAATAAAAATAATTGTCGGATGTTAATGAAACTTTCAGTAACTATTCATAGATGATCGAAATTATTGTTTTTTTTTTTTTTTTATTAAATTCATGGAAGAAATATTTTTTTTTTATATTTATTACCCCACCCCTAACTAATTGTATGAAAACGCTAGAAATTCGATCGCGTCATGTTTAGTGATTACAATGGTTAAAAGCACAAGGCTTTGAGGAATGCAAATCATTTTTTTTTTTTTAATTGGATCCCCTACCTGAAAATCAGCTCTGAATTGTAACATACCAAAAAAAAACAAAGATATTATTTAACAATAATAATAATTATTATTATTCAATAAAACAATTATAATTATTATTCAATAAAACAAAGATATTATTTAATTTCAAATGTTTTTATTTGCTTTTATGAATATGGACAATATTTTTTGAAAGCAAAAAAATTTTCGATGAAAAATTAATTTTTAATACAATTATTTCTTATTTCTTTAAAATTAGTTAAAAGCCGCATCGGATTTCCTAAGTGTCCTTATGAGATAGATCTTTTTTTAGCGCGTTGTAAATTGTATCATTTCGACTAATCAGAATATCCGCAGTAATTGGGAAATGTAATTTTGTGTTTATAATCGGGCTGCAATTATAAAGTACGCAAGACCAACCAGAATACAATTAAGTTGTTTTATTTGAGTTAAGCATTGTTCTCCGCTGTTAAGGCCTTTACTTTTGCGAAACACGTGTGGAGAAGTTAATTTGATTGTTCAATTTCAACTGAGAAGGGTACTTACAAGTACCATTATCATCTTATGAAATTTATATGATCTTATTTTTATATTAATCTCAGTTATGACATTTTTCCATAAATGAAATATCAAAATTAATAATAAAATGAATGGAAATTCAAATAACACAGTAAAATGTAATAAATGTACATAAAATTATAGTATTTTATGTACACTTCTGATAAAATTTCATAAGAAATGTACCTATAAATTAATTAGATACCTTTCCTATGAAATATGAAATTTAATCTTACTCTTAAGTCTTATTTTAATTTCTTTAGAATATATTTTCCATAAAGTATCATAAACGTAAAGGTGAAATCTAAGTACAAAAAAAAAGTGCTGAAAGTTTTCCTTAAAAATAACGAGGTAAATAACTTGTTCACTTAAATGTAAATTATTTCACTTTTCTCCTTCCGTAGAACAAATTAGCCTCACGGAATCCGTCAATATGTCATTCATCACCTGTCAAGTGACGCGAAAGTTTATGGCCTGCTTTGTTTTATTTTCAAATTACATCTTTTCGGCGCAGAAGCTAAGTTAAGCTTGGTTCAAAATATTTTAAATAAACATTTCTGATTTTCTTAAAATAAGTTTTGAAAAAATGATAATTGATATTTAAAAGAATTTCAAAGTGAGATTTTCATTTTTATAAAATGGAAAAAAAAATGGTTGCTATTTGTCAATTTTGATGACTCAAAAAAAAATGATTTTTAACGAAAATTTCGGACGTGCTAGGAACGATTAAAAAATGTAAAAAAAAACACAAAATACTTTGATCTTTCCTCTTAATAATAACATAAACATTTAGACGTTA